TCCCTCCCACCCAAACACAGGATCTTTAAAGAATTGCTAAGTGGAGCCAGGCGCTAGCACAGGTAGTAAAATTCATGGAAAGAGGCACTGGCTGGGAAGGGAAGAGGGGGCAAATACCAGAAGAGTCTCCACGGGTTGAGTCAGCAGGCGCCCCCCAGGGTGAGAGGAGAACCAGGGAGGGTGCGCCGGTGGGAGACTGGGATCTGGGGCGGCCGGCCGCCCGGGGCCAGTGCCCAGGGGATCCTTTTCTTCCTCCCGTGGGGCCCAGGCATACTGTGCCTCTGGCCAGGGAGTGCCTGCTTGTCACCCTTCCGAGTCCTGGGGAAGTCTCAGGACACTTGAGGCCAGGCCTGAATGCCCAGTCCCACAGCATGAGCCGTTCTCGGGGAGCACTGTGCTCGGGGAGAACTGTTGGTAGGAGCCCCCAGCATTAGGGAAGGGGCCCTGCCTACCTGAGTCAGCGCTGGGCCTCCGGGGTGGAGGCTGTCTTCCGGGCGAACCTGGCAACACGCCTAAGGCTGAGTTTGGAGATCCCAGGTTGAAGGGCCCACTGGATAGAAGGCCCTTTCTCTTCTCCCTGGGTTCTACATTCCACCATCTGTTGAGCCCCCGAAGCGGTTCAAGTCCTGCTTCTGAGTCGAGCGTGCTTGAGTAACCTGTGTGGTCTGCCCTTGGTCCCAGATACTGTCTCACAGGGCAACCCCCTGTTCTTTCCAAAAGCTGCCTGAGAGCCATGCTGTCAACTTGCAACAGACATGCTCAGATTTTTAGGGTCTGCCTGTGGTACGCCGTGGGCCAGAGCTTTGGGGATGTCTGGTGTTCCTGCCTTACTGTGAGCAAGGAGGACAGAGGTGGAGGGAAGAGTGTGGATTTAGCGAAACCCTGGGGGCTATGGGGGGCCTGGAAGGGCAGCCAGTCCCCAGCCCCCCACACAGTGGTGAGATCTGGGTCTGCGCTGAGTGGGCCTAGTCAGGACCGTGGAAGAGACAGATGGTCTCCATGCCCTTACCTCCACTTTAGCCTTCAGGGCGGCCACCTCACATGGGGCCTCGGTCCAAGAAACGTTTTCTACTGGAGACTTTCTCTTTTCTCCACTCCCTTTCTCCTTTCTTCCCTTCCTCCCCTGGGCTCTCCTCACCCTGCCCGCCCCCCCCCCCCATCCCTGCTGTGTCTCAGAGAAGAGGCAAAAGGGAGGGACGGCTACGCTCTTTTGAGTCCTGAGAGTTGGGTGATTCGGTCCTGAAAGGCGAGTGGGTGAATTTGGGAGCAGGGGATCAAAGAGCACAGCCCCTGTTCTCTGCTTCTCTGGGTCCTGGACAAGCAGAACCTTCCCTCTGTTCCGGATGCCCGGCTTGGAACCAGCCCTTCATGGCTGTCCTGTCTAGTTGCCTCCCGTGAAGGCTGGAGGTGCTGGTGCAGGCTAGGAGGGCTCCACTAAGAGGTGGAAGTCTTGTTGACAAAGACAATAGTATTTGGGAACTAAAAATAATTGCGATACGGGTCGCTCTTCATGCTGTACTGGATAAAGCATTTTATGTGTGTTCTCTCACCTCAAGTGAAGTTGGGAATATTTTATCACCACTTTACAGATGAGAAAACTAATACCAGTAAGTAGGGGAGCCAGGACTTGAACCTAGTTCCGCTGGGCAGAGCTCCTCGGCCCCCGCTAGACCATCTCCTGACCCAGATGTGTGGAATCACCGTGCACTGGTCATCTTTTGGATGGTTTCCTTCACCCTTTTTACTCTCATCTCCCTCTTAAGGGTGGTGTTGATAATAATAAAGTTAGCATGTGTTGAGTAATTGGCAGATTTAGGATTTGTCTCTGGCATTTGCACTCGTAACCACACCTCTCGACCCCTGAAAGGAGGGAGGTGGATGGCAGGGCCCCTCTTGTGTTTAGTTGACGTTTTGAGGCCCAGTGCGCAGCTGAGCCTGGCGGGGAAAGCCATCCTGTTGTACCACAGTGACCAGCCCCTGGAGCCAGGGACACCAAGAGGGATGGGCAGAGCAGAAGTCAAGAAGGACAGTGGGATTCCCAGATTTGGCTTCAGAGGGGCAGAGGGCCCAAACCTTCAAGTGTACGCTAAATTCCTGTTACAAGTTTTGAGGACTTTGAGTCTGCCAAGTCCTCGGATCCTCAGAAGAGAGGGGAGGGACAAAGTCAGGAGGTGAATTGGTGGTTGCCGAGGACACTTTCCCACCCATCTTCCTCTCGTGAGAGCTGGGGCAGAGGGAAGGTCTCCCCTGTCACGCCCTCTGAGGCAGGCCAGGTAGCGAGCAGACAGTCTAGCAGCACTTGCTGGGAGAATGGGACTGAGAAGAGGTAGGCCGCGCGCGGAGGCCAGACCTTCAGGACCCTGATGGACGGGGCTCAGGGTACCCCTTGGTAGACTGAGCCAAAGGCAAGTACCAGCAGGGCCGAGGAATGTCCTTGTCTCCAAGGGATGTGAATCCTACGGTTGCTTTGGCAGGGTAAAAAACAGATGTTTGAAAACCTATTGGTCTTAGGGGCGCCCGGGTGGCTCAGTCGGTTGAGTGTCCCGAGTTTGGCTCAGGTCATGATCTCATGGCTTGTGAGTTCGAGTCCCATATCGGGCTCTCTGCTGTCAGCGCAGAGCCTGCTCGGGATCCTCTGTCCCTCACCCTCTCTCTCTTTCTGCCCCTCCCCTGCTTGCACTCTCTCTCAAAAAAATAAACATTAAAAAAAAAAAAAAAAAAAAGAAAGAAAAAGAAAATCTGTTCTAGCAAACACTGAGGACCAACCAGGTTTAAGTGAGCAACCGGGTGTCTGAAGCACAGAGGCCAAGAGAGTTGGGTGGGCTGGAGTGGGCAGACAGCAAAGGCTTTGAGGACCTGACTGGTGAGGACTTGCAGGAGAGAGAACACTCCCTAAAGGGCAAAAGAGGTTAAAAGGGACTCTGCTGAGATGTCAGGAACCTTTCCCTTCAAAAGCTGCCATATGCACGGGGTCTTTTTTCTCCTCGAAGGCCTAAATCCATGAGCTTTCAGGATCCGAGTCAGACAGTTTACCCCAAATCAGCCAGCAGCTACCATGCAAAGAGAAAAAAAAGGCCTTCCTTGACGGCAAGGAAGAAGGGGGATCCGTCAGTAGCAGGGTATTTGCTTTGTGTTACTGTTTTTCTGCCTTGAAAGCATCTGGTTAGGGAAGCAAGCTTCTTCGAGAAACCCTGGACAGTTCTTTGGGTGGTAGCAAGTCATTTCTTTCCTCTGTGGTTTTGAAGGGCTTCATTACAGCCTCAGGGGGCCATGAAAGGAAGAACTTTGACTCACACGCTTCTGGTCACCCCGCTCTCCTCCACGCTGTCTCCACACAGACTTGTCAAGGTAGCTCTGGATGGTTCTAGGACGAGGCTCTGGCCGCATTTTGCCCCAGTATGTGGGAGTGAGGGCATCTGGTGGTCTTTGAGAGTAAAAGTGGGGCTCCAAACAAGATCAGACCAGACTCCCAGCACTTGTATTCACCCGTTCCCGTGCCATACAGTCCACCCATTTATTTTATTTTTTACTTTTACTTTTATTTGAGAGTGTGCACAAGGAGAGGGGCAGAGGGGGCGAGAGCGAAAACCTTAAGCGGACTCTATGCTCAGCACAGAGCCCAACGTGGGGCCGATCCCACCACCCAGGGATCGTGACCTGAGCCGAAACCAAGAGTCGGACACTCGACCAACTGAGCCAGCCAGGCGCCCCACAATTTATCCATTGAAGGTGTACAAGTAACTGGCTTTGAGTAAATTCACAGAGCTGTGTATCCGTCACCACAATCAACATTTCATTAGGAGATTTTCGTTCTCACAGAAAGAAACCTCGTACCCCTTAGTTGTCCCCCCTAAATCTCCACCCTCCTCAGCCCTAGACTGATCTTTCTGTCTCTCTGGATTTGCCTGTTCTCAACATCTCAAATACATGGGCTCATACAATACGTGGTCCTTTGTGACCAGCTTTATTCACGTAGTGGAAGGTTTTCAGGGTCTGTCCGTGTTGTAGCGCGTGTCACTGCTTCATTTCTTCTGATTGCCAACGAATATTCCACCACGTGGATATCCTGCAATGTGTCCGTCCGTTTGCCAACTGACAGACGTTTGTGTTGTTTCCCCTTTTTGGCTGTTGTGACTGTGGGCTGTTCCCAGCAGGCACTGGTGTATGAGTTTTTGTGTGGACGTCTGTTTCCACTTCTGTGATGTGCTGCACCTGGGAGTGGCACTGCCGGGTCACACGGTGACTCCGGGTTTAGCCCTCTGAGGAACACACAAGTCTTCGTGGACACGTGTGCGTTCGTCTGGGTTGCACCCTTTTTGTGTCACGTATGCGGAGCTGTTCAGTGCCGTTGCTGTCATCTCTGCGTCCTCACACCGTTGGCCCGAGCTGCGGGCCGTCCCGGGAGGGCAGACGGTTGCCTTGCTCAGACCCTGTCATTCGGCATGTTCGTTGCGCAGGTGTTTGAGTGAGCATCTCCCAGAATTCAGATCGTGTAGGGGCTGGGATGTATCAGTGAGTAAATGACGTACGCCCGCCTTCATGCGCTCCCGTCTCAACGGGATGGACGGCAAATCGGTGTAAAGTGACAAATGCTAAAGGTGAAGGTGAAGGGCGGCATGGCGCTGAGTGCCGGGAAGGAATTCTGATGTTCTGCTGCGCAGCCTCACGGCGTGAAGAGGCAGCTGGGCGAGCAGTAGGAGGCGCTCTCCTGCAGGACGTGGAGGGCTGGTGGGTTGTTAAGGGCCGATTGCACCGCCCTGCGGTGCGGGGCCCGGGCTCCCACGCCCACGGGATGTTGGCACTGAAGACCGGCGCTCCTTATCTCCTCCTCCTCCCCCCACTGCCTTCTGACTCTGCCTGCCTGCCAGCCCCCTGCCGTCCACCCCTCCCCACCCACCTCCGCCCCAGCCTCTTAGGTTTTTTTGCGGAGAGCTAAGGGCAACGATAAGGGGAACTGAGAAGTCAGCGTCCTGAAAGGTGTGCGTGTTTCCACCCCACAGCCCACCTTGGGACACCTTGACCCCAAGCCCAGCAGTAAGTCCAACATGCTGCGGGGCCGCAACTCAGCCGCCTCTGCTGACGAGCAGCCCCATATCGGCAACTACCGGCTCCTTAAGACCATCGGCAAGGGCAACTTCGCCAAGGTGAAGCTGGCCCGGCACATCCTGACCGGGAAGGAGGTGAGCTCTGGGGACGGGCCGTGGGGCGTGGCCACACCCCCCAACTGTTGGCACCCAGGAGGTAGCGGTGGGACTGCTGCCACAGCCACCTCTTATTTGTCAGCTGGAAATGAAATCTGGACAGATAGATGTGTTGACGGGGATGGGGTTAGAGGAGGAGGGAGAGTCGAGTCCTGGGTCTCTCCTGTTCAGAGAGGGAAACTTGGGCTTTTTGTCTCACGTGCAGGTAGCTGTGAAGATCATTGACAAGACTCAACTGAACTCCTCCAGCCTCCAGAAAGTAAGCATACAACATCTTCTGTTCGTTTTTAAACCTCTCATCAGGGGTCAGCGATCCCGTGTGGGCCTCCCCTTGAATCCCCATTTTTAAAATCTCTTCGTCTTTTCACTGTCCCCAGTGCTCTGTGGCTCTGCTACCTGTGGGGCTCTGATGGGATCCACTGCATTGACTCCCCCTGGGTAGGCTTCCTGGCCACGGGCACTGGCTCTTTAGAAGTCTTTCTGCCCTTCCCTGCCATTTGGCCTGTCTGACCTACTTCCTGCATCGTGTCATCTGCTGGCCTGTGGCCCTATGCAAAAACACAACGTTCCTAGCCATTTCTAGAAACATGCGTTTGGTGATTCCAAGATCTAGAACGATCCAGGGGAGTGGCTCTGGAAGTACAGGGATAAGAGGGGGCAGGGAGCCTGCCACCAGATTCTGTGCCAGCAGCCTTTTAGGGGATGAGTATAGAAGGTTGGGTTTTTAGAAGCTCGACTCCAGTTTCAAGCCCCTGACAGTTTGTGCAGATAAAGGACAGGTAGTCCCAGTTTGCCTTCTCACTCCTAGGCTTCTCTTGGCTAAAAGTCACAGAGTCATCCACATGTAGTGTTCGCTAGATGAGGTTGAACTTTTTCTTCCCTCCTTTATTTACGGTGGGAAACTGAGGTCAGTCTTAGCTGAACAGGGGAGTCCTCCAGGTGGGAACACATACCCGCCCCGGTCGGGAAACTATGAAAAGCTGGTAGGAACGCGAAAAGGAGGCTTTGATTTGCAGAATGAGACAGCTTGCCAGTGATGGGTTGGCGTAGAACTGGACACTCTCTGCCCTCTCCTCCCATGCTGGGCTCCAGCAGTTGGGGGAAAGAGGAAGTCTCCCGTCTGGCTCCCCAAAAGCCTCCCCTGTTCAGGTCAGTCAGATTTCCTTGTGCCCCCATACTCCAGCTGACCCTGGCTCAGATTTTCTGATCTTGCTTCACCTGGTTCTCTCACGAGGTAAGCTGAAATTTTCTTTTCAGGAGCACCCTGTTGTTTAAGAGAGGGCATAACCTCATGCTAACAGTCAACTACGGTGAGATCGAGAAGCTTAGGACTAGGGCTTGGGGGCTGGTATTGAGAGAGGCGTTCACAGAATTACGGTGTGGAGGTTGAGGTGCCTTGACACGCTGGCAGTCAAAAGCAAAGTGTTTCCTGGTTGGTGCTCACTCAAGCCCCGGGATCCCCTCAAGGTTCTTTGGTTCAGAGGAAACGTTGCTGCCATCACCAGGGCTTTCCTGCCTGGGGCTTTCCCGAAGAAAGGGAAAGAGGGCTACTCTTGACATGTTGGCTCAGAGCCTACAGAGTCGGAGCCAGCTTGGTGTGGGCCATTTGGTCTTTGGTGCGGTCCAGCCTGCCATATGATAACTGCCAGAGTCGGCCTGGCCATCTTATTTCCTACCTCTCTTTCCTGCTTGCCTCTTCCTGACTGGCTGGAAGGCACCAATCCCGGACAAACGTAGCCAGTTTAAAAGCCTTTTAACACACTCTGTTACCAAGGCCAGTCTGATTCTGGCCGAATCACTCTGTTTAAATCTGATCCCAGCAGTGATCCGTAGGAAGGACAACACTGAAGAATCTAGCCCCCCCAGGGTTCTCAGCTGAGCTCAGAAAACTCCATGTTCTCCCAGAGAATGTCCCTTCCAGGCCAAGTGGGTGCCCTCAGGGGAAGAACCCGGGCAGCTGCCTCCAGCCCCACTTCAGCGTTGCTTACCACCCCTGAGGTGGCGTCCAGGACTTTTTGCCTCTCATCCAAGACAACTGCTGGACCAGGGAAGAAAGCAAGAGAAACCTGGGCTCTAACATGAAAAGGGAGCCAAGTTCAGAATCAGGTTCCTGAAGATTGGAAAGCCCGTCTCTTCCTTTTCAGCTCACAAAAGCTCTCGGACCTCCTTAAAGGGAAAACAAAAAACAAAAAAACCGTGTTCACTTTATTCCATGAACTATATCCTGAATTACCTCCAGAGGTCCTGGAGAGACCTCTCCTCCCCTTACCACCCCCCACCCCCCCAAAAAACAACAAAATGCAAACAACTACGTCTGCTCTTTGTGCAAACGGTGAGGCCTGGAAGTTACCAAGATCCCACCTCCAGTTCTCTGGCCCCCGCAGAGGGGATGGAGTTCGTTTCTGTCATCTTTCTTTATGGAAATACATGCTTTGGAGTCCCTGATTTTGTTTCACAAAGAGAGCGTGAGTGTGTGGAGGTGGGCTTGATTAAAATTGGCATCAGCTATATATAGGAGCGGCTTCTTCTGTCACCACCCCAGAGGCCCGGGAGAGAAGGGCCTGCCCACCAGTGCAGAGCCCTCTGACTTCTGTAAACCAGAAGACGGTGGGGACCCCCCTGCCAGCCCCCACCCCTTCACGCAGACCAAGCTGGAGGCTGTTTTGTCACTGAACTTTAGCAGCAGCCCTGGTTCTGAATATTCATGTACACGGGCTCACGCTCCCTCCTTCAGAGGCACCCAGCCAAACCCGTCTGCTCTTTGGGGGTTGGATTTGGGGAGACTGCGACAGAGGACACTTGGCCGCTTTAGCCAGATGCTGAACCCCAGGGTGCAGGTCGCTAGAGCCCAGCTTTCCTCCTGCCGACGCTTCTGCTCTCGTTCCCCTTCACCTACTTCTCAGCCATCAGGGACAGGCATGGGGGACCTGGACGGCTGCCCCATTTCTTTCCTCCGCCTGTTTTCTCTCTTGGGAAAAGAATTCAAACAGTGGCTCCGTGTGGAGGGGACCTGAGGGGAGCAAGTGAAGCAAGCGTGACCCCTGGTATTTTATTTTCCAGCTATTCCGCGAAGTAAGAATAATGAAGGTTTTGAATCATCCCAACATAGGTGAGAACCAGATGCCGTTCCTTCCTTCCTTCCTTCCTCCTCCACAGCACGGCTCCACTTCCCAGCCTGTGTCCCTCCCCGAGGCAGTGCTTTCTGGAGTCGGGAGTCTTTGAGGATGCCTCTGGGGATGCCCAGCTCAAGATCCAGCCCTGCCCCTGGCACCCTGGGCTCTTCTTAGCAGTGTGGCTGCCACGAGAGGAGCTTGCCCTTGTGGCAGGGGCGGGGTGGGGGGACCTTTCATCCCCGGGATGCCCCTGTTCACGTTAGGGCTCAGCGTGTGGCCCCTCCTACTTCTCTGACTCACGGCTTGGCCCTTTCTGTTGCAGTTAAGTTATTTGAAGTGATCGAGACTGAAAAAACTCTCTACCTTGTCATGGAGTACGCTAGCGGAGGTAGGTGTGGAACCACCTCTTCCCACGGGCCCCCGTGTTCCCCGGCCCCGGTAAGCTCCGACCTAGACCCCACCCCTGTGTCTTGCAGGAGAGGTGTTTGATTACCTGGTGGCTCATGGCAGGATGAAAGAAAAAGAGGCTCGAGCCAAATTCCGCCAGGTGGGTGTGGCTCCCTGTGCGGAGTGTGGGCCCCACCTCTGCCCTTTGGGATTTGGCATACGAGGAGGAGCTGCCTGTCTCTGAGTGGGCTGTGGAGGGTCCTTCGGGCTTTGCTTATCTATGTGGCAGCTTGGAACTAGGTCACCGGATCGCAGGTCCGCCATCCCGCCCTCGGGTGCCCCTCGCCTAACCCTTCTTCCTTCCTTCCAGATAGTGTCTGCTGTGCAGTACTGTCACCAGAAGTTTATTGTTCATAGAGACTTAAAGGTAAGACGTGCCCTCGTCCCCTGTCCCTGAGTCAGGTTTGGGTTGTTCACCCCCTGTCAACGGTGACCTAACCATCGGGCCCTGAGAGTTCAGGGAAACTCTAGCCTTTAATTTTTTGGAGATGATGAGGAAGCCCTTGGGGCTGCTTCCGCTGTAGGCCTTACGACCGGACTTAGAGGTCAGCCGGCCAGCGAACGGAGGGTCTCTGCCATCTCCTCGCTGGGCACGTCACCTTCCAGTGCTGCCGGGCGCGTCAGGAGAGCCGCGGGCTGTGCTGGCCCTTCCGGCCGCCGACCGAGGGAGGGACGTTGAGTGTCCCGCAGCTGCCCCACAGCTGCTTTGCAGGCGCGCACCCACTCCGCTCTCTCCCAGAGACGGTAGAGTGTGGACTACCTCGCAGGCGCCCGGCCCCCCAGTCCTAGCAGACGTGACCGCGATTAACCTGAGCCCGACGTGGCGGAAGCCCGGCACAGCTCGCAGCGTCTCCGAGCCCGCCGACCCCCGTGCGCTCCCGTGGCCGCCCGTGTGAGGGGTGGCCCGCGCTGCCCTCCTCCGGGCCAGCCTCTTCACACGGACCGAAGGCCTGCCCTGGAGTTGGTGGAGAATGTTCTGAGACAGGGGACGACTTCCTGTTTGTGCTCCCGTCCCCCACAGCCCCTTCCTGTTCGATGCCTTCCCGTGGTCCGCTCGGTCCGAACATTTTCCATCTTCCCGTCTTCCCTCCCAGGCGGAAAACCTGCTCTTGGATGCTGATATGAACATCAAGATTGCAGACTTCGGCTTCAGCAACGAATTCACCTTTGGGAACAAGCTGGATACCTTCTGCGGCAGTCCCCCGTATGCTGCCCCAGAGCTCTTCCAGGGCAAAAAGTATGACGGACCCGAGGTGGATGTGTGGAGCCTGGGAGTTATCCTGTATACACTGGTCAGCGGGTCCCTGCCTTTTGATGGACAGAACCTCAAGGTGGAGTGAAGCACAGGCTTAGGTCTTAAATTAAATAAATAAAAAATAAATAAATTATAAAAAATTAAATAAGAAAAAATAGATAGATAGAAAGATTTAATTTTTAAGTAATCTCTACACTGAACGTGGGGCTCAAACTCAACCCCGAGACCAAGTCACGTGCTCCACCAACTGAGCCAGCCCCGTGCCCCAGGCTTAGGTCATTTTTATTGCTTCTCCTTTCCATTCTCAGCCCCTTTGGTCTCACGCCTGACCTCTGACCTTTGCCACCTCTACCCTTTTTCCAAGCCAGAGCTTCAGAGGAGGGCTGGGTAAAGGTATGGCAGGAGACACTGGGCCTTCTGCACACAGTGGAATGGCCTCAGTTCCTTCCTCTAGGGATGGGATAGATTATAGATTGTGTGTCCATTCGCCCTTCCAAGGCACTTGGATGGCAGGCCTCAGGCTGGTCAAGCTAACGGGCACGGCGTATTTGACCTCAGTGCCTCTCTGGTGAGGTGCCTTGTCTCCGGCTCTCTGTCTCCTACCGTGTTTCATGCGTATCTGCCTGGTCAAGTCTTAAGCTCTCAGAAGCCTGGATATTAGGTTTCTTCCCTTGGTCTTGGGGTGATTTAAATTTCCCTCCTGCTGGGGCACCTGGCCGGCTCCGTCGGTAGACCAGGGGTACTCTTGATCTCAGGGTCGTGAGTTTAGGCCCCAGGTTGGACATAGAGCTTACTTAAAAATAATAATAATAATGATAAATTTCTCGGGGTGCTTTTGTGGCTCAGTCGGTTAAGCTCTCCACTTTGGCTGAGACCATGATCTCGCAGTTGGCGGGTTGGAGCCCCACGTCGGGCTCTGTGCTGGCAGCTCAGAGCCTGGAGCCTGCTTCGGATTCTGTGTCTCCCTCTCTCTTTGCCCCTCCCCTGCTTGTGTTCTGTCTGTTTATCTCTATCTCTCTCTGTCTCTCAAAAATAAACAAACATTAAAAAAACTAAAAAATAGTAATAATAAAATTCTCTCCTACTATAGGAGCTACGGGAGCGGGTACTGAGGGGAAAATACCGCATTCCGTTCTACATGTCCACGGACTGTGAAAACCTGCTTAAGAAATTTCTCATTCTCAATCCCAGCAAGAGAGGCACTTTAGAGGTGAGCAGCCAGGAGCCCAGCTGACTGGAAAGTTCTGGGTTCCTTGGGACACCTCCAAGCTGAGTCTCCTTCCTCCTTGCCCTTAACGCTTCCCTTTGCTCCCCCAGCAAATCATGAAAGATCGATGGATGAATGTGGGTCACGAAGATGACGAATTAAAGCCTTATGTGGAGCCACTCCCTGACTACAAGGACCCCCGGCGGACAGGTGAGGATCTGCTGAGCCGTGAGGTTGAACTCCCTAGGACTCAGGACCAGCCTTAACTGTATGTCCCCCCTGTGCAGAATTGATGGTGTCCATGGGTTACACACGGGAAGAGATCCAGGACTCACTGGTGGGCCAGAGGTACAACGAGGTGATGGCCACCTATCTGCTCCTGGGCTACAAGAGCTCTGAGGTGTGTGCCCCCTGCTCTATTCCCTGCTGGCCAGCTTTGCTGTCACTGGCAACCCCGTGCTTCTAGCACCCGTTGAGGGCAGAAGCTCCTCTCTGAGTAGGTGTGCTCTCTGCTGACGAATTTTAAGCCTCAGCTCTGGTGGGTAAAGCTCTCTGGCCTTTGCTTTCACTGGTCTCTGTCAGTGAATGAATAGGAAGGCTGGTGGGGTCTGGGCCTGGGTTGGGTTTCCAGGCGGGTGAGTAGATCTGGCTCAGTCTGTGTTGGTTAGGCCGGGTTTAGGTCGGTCTGGCTGGATCAGTTCTTTGTCTGTTGAGAAATCTTCGTGTCTGTTTCCATGTGTTTGTGTCCCTCTGCATCTGGAAGTGTCTGTCTCCAGGCGTTTGGGTGTGTGGGTCTCTGTGCCTTTCTTATACGGGTCTTGAGTCTTTGTGTCGCTGGTGTCTGGCTGTCTGTATCTGTGCGCATGTATGTCCGTCCTCCCGTCTGTTCATCTGGAGGCTTCGTGTTTGTTCTTGTGCCCGTCTGGGTAACCGTGTCTGTGTGTGAGTCCCTGGGTGTGTGTGGGAGAGTGGTCTTGCACACCATCTGCGTGTCCCCACATGCACTCCTGGCCTCCCCGCCCTGCTCTTCTCCTGGAAGTGTAGGACTCCCTCTCTCGGTTCTCACCTTTGCCTGGTCAGGAACAATCTAGCTGGGAGCAGGAGGGTGTGGTTTCGGAGTCTGAATGTGTGTTCTTATGGGCACGTGTATCCCTCTCTAGGGGTGGGGGTCTTCCGTGTGCTGGGGGCCGGGAGTCTTTGGCTCTGTTTGTCAGGAGCTGTGTCCGGGCCTGTGTGTCTCCAGGAGTGTTTAGATGCACCTGGCTCCTGCAGGAGTATGTCCCATGGGAGTCCGGGGAGGATTTGTGTCGGGCAAGGTGGTGTGTAAGTGGGTCCACCTGTGCGCATCTCCACATGATTTCTACCTCCTTTTTCTCTGCTTGCAGCTGGAGGGTGACACCATCACCTTGAAGCCCCGGCCTTCAGCTGATCTGACCAATAGCAATGCCCCTTCCCCCTCCCACAAGGTACAGCGTAGCGTCTCGGCCAACCCCAAGCAGCGGCGCTTCAGTGACCAGGGTGAGTGCTTTGGGGAGTTGCAGGTGGTGGACTCACCCCCTCCTGAAAGGACACAGGTTCCGGGGGCTTGGGATGACACTGCTGAGTTTCAGTCCCACTTCAGCCACGTCTTAGTAGCATGGCCTTGGGCAAGTCACTTAACTTCGCTCAACTTCACATGGGGTTTGCCAGCTTGCTGGCAGGCCTGCAGGAGAGCACCGTGTGTGTGTGTGTGTGTGTGTGTGTGTGTGTGTGTGTGGCACTTAGTTGGCCCCTTGCCCTTATCCATTCCCTCTGACCCAGCAGCTGGTCCTGCCATTCCCACGTCCAATTCCTACTCTAAGAAGACTCAGAGTAATAACGCAGAAAATAAGCGGCCTGAGGACGACCGGGAGTCGGGGCGGAAGGCCAGCAGCACAGCCAAAGTGCCCGCCAGCCCCTTGCCCGGCCTGGAGAGGAAGAAGACCACCCCCACCCCTTCCACGGTGAGCCTCCCTCCTGCAGTGGGGCCCACCCTCTCCAAGCAGCTCCCTCCAGCTGCCTCCCTGACCTTGCCTCCAGGGCCATGTTTGCTTGCTGTACGAAGCCTACCCCCAAGAGTTTGAAAAGCAGAATCCTTTCTTTTCCCAAAGCCAGTGCTGTGAACAGAACACTTGGGTGTCTGTGATACACCTCTGCCCTTTATTTCCCACAGAACAGCGTCCTCTCCACCAGCACAAACCGAAGCAGGAATTCCCCCCTTTTGGAGAGGGCCAGCCTTGGCCAGGCCTCCATCCAGAATGGCAAAGACAGGTGAGTGGACCCAGGCCCTGCCTACCATGCTCCCCCACAGCCATCTCACGGCGGTGACGTCTGTCAGCCCCCCCCCCCCCCCCCGCTCCCTGGAGTTCCGTCCTGGCTCTGTCCAGTCCAGCTTGTCCACGCACCAGCCCTCCTCCCTGCCACTCTCCACCCCCCACCCCAAGTCTCCCATCCCCTGTGCTCCTGTGACTGCTCCTTGCAGCAGGCACACCGAGTGAGACTCCGTGGTCATCTTGGCTGCATTCTCGCCTGATTTGGTGGGGTTTTTTCTTTCCTTTTTTTTTTTTTTTAGTTAGTTAGTTTGTTTATTTATTTATTTAATTTAAGCAACGTCGGCACCCAGCGTGGGGCTCGAACTCACGGCCCTGAGATCCAGAGGTGCACGCCCTTGCGACTGAGCCAGCCAGGCACCCCCACCTTCGGGCTTCTTGACTGCAGCCAGGGCACAGCAACTGCGCTCCTCTAGGCCCCAGTGCCTGAGGCTTTGGTTCGGTGGCCCCAGCTCAGGGCAGAACCGAGAGATGTCCCACCTGAGGGGCATACGTGTTGAGGGTGACCCCGGCTGTGCCCGTGAGAACAGAGGTCCCCTAGCCTTGACTGTCAGCATCTCTTGGTGTGTTGCATTCTTGGCTCCTCCTCTTCCGAGCTTAATGAAAATTCCCCAACACCCTGCTCTTTCTGTCGACAAAACATCCTTGTTCTCAGAGTTCCTAGGGGACCAGTGCAACCCAGAGGCAGTTCCATCCCGTTGGCTTTTCTGCACTTTTGGTTTCCTCCCCCCGGGTTTTGGCCTCGCTTTCCTCACCCCCGGTGCTCCGCTTCCCAGCCCCGCCTTCCTGGTCTCTGACTCGAGTCCCATTGCTGCTCCCCAGACCTGACCTGCATCCTGCCGAGGCTCCCCGGCTCTGGCCCTTCCTGCCCTGCCCTTGCTTCCTAACCTGAGCCTCCTGCCCCCACCCACCCCTAACCCAGGCCTCTTCGCTGCTTTTGTCTCCTAGCCTAACCATGCCAGGGTCCCGGGCCTCCACGGCTTCTGCTTCCGCCGCAGTCTCTGCGGCCCGACCCCGCCAGCACCAGAAATCCATGTCGGCCTCCGTGCACCCCAACAAGGCCACTGGGCTGCCCCCCACGGACAGTAACTGTGAGGTGCCGCGGCCCAGGCAAGTGTGCTGGGGCACCTGGCGCACCCGGTGCCCTCAGCCTGCCCCCCCCTCCCCGCCCCACCCTTCCCAACAAGTTCTCCCCGCTCCCCGGGGGTCCTGCTCTGTTCTTGGCATCTTAGCCACAAGCAATGGCTCTGTCCCCTGCAGTCAGGAAGTAGAGGGAACAAAAAAATAGCTTAATGCCCCTCTTTTCCTCCAGTTCTCCCTCTCAGAACAGATATGCAAGAAGCCGTCCCGAGGCTCCAGAAGGAAGCCTTTTTGTTCTGAGCCTTCCTGGACTTCCTTAGGACCCCAGGGACAGTCAGCATCAAAGGGATTCAATCCTTGAGGGTTGGTCGACATTGTCCCCTTGAGGCTCCAGTGTGCCTAGCTCCCAAGGAGCCTCTTCTGTCTGGCCTGTTCTGCTCTCCACACACGTATCCTCCCTTGCCTCCCTCCCTCCCCCAAACCATCTCCTCCCACCTCCACCCAGATGTCCTCCTTTCTGGTGTCCTCAGTGGTCACACCCCTTCCTTCTGTGTCCTCCGTGATGGCTGCCTCTGCCCCAGCGTCCCCCTCCCCTGTTCCCACGCCAGGATGCCACAAGGGCTCGGTGGTGATGACATTCTTGTGCCCTGATGCATTTCCCCCACCCCCACCTCTCTTCCCACAGCACGGCCCCCCAGCGTGTCCCTGTCGCCTCCCCCTCCGCCCACAACATCAGCAGCAGTGGTGGAGCCCCAGACCGAACTAATTTCCCCCGGGGCGTGTCCAGTCGAAGCACCTTCCACGCTGGGCAGCTCCGGCAGGTGCGGGACCAGCAGAATTTGCCCTACGGTGTGACCCCAGCGTCTCCCTCTGGCAACAGCCAGGGCCGGCGGGGGGCCTCGGGGAGCATCTTTAGCAAATTCACTTCCAAGTTTGTACGCAGGTGAGTCGGGGGGCTTAGGGTGGCAGAGAGAATGAGGCCAGGTCTTCCTACCTGCCTGGGAGTGGGGGTGGGGACTCGGCACTAGGCTTGTGTCCTGGGGTTAGCAGAGGCCTTAGAAAGCCTAAGAAGTTGGGTCTTTGTCAGCACCTCATGATCCCAGACCCGTCCATCCTTCTCAGGCTCTCCCCAACTCCTGTACACACCCCTCGTTCTCTGGCCCCAAGAGCAGATGGCCAATGCCGCCTCCTCTCTAGGAGAGTGTGAACTCAGATGCTAAAATAAAAGCCCCCCTCTTCTCTCCTGGGTTCCCATGGAAACTTATATTTGGTGACGCAGCTGCAAAGTCATGAGGCCTGAGCCAGGCTGGGCCGGCAAGGAGAGTGTTTCCGGGTCCTTCGTCTCGCCCCCTCTGACCTCCTTTCCCCCCACTCAGCTGGTTAAGTTTGCACCCTCTGCCCCAGCCTCGTCTTTCTGCCCCAGGCTCACCAGGAAGAAGGCCAGAAGCGAAGTAGCTGGTGGGGGCCTGGTGGCCTCCTCCCTCGCAGCCCAGTGTGCTGAGGCTTTCCTGAGCAGCAAGCGCGGAGGCGGTGGGGGGGGGGGGGGGGCGGGTAGTTCTCTCCATGAGGTCTCTCACCTGGTCCCCAGGTCCCCAGCTGCCCCGGAGAGACAGCTGCAATCCTGCCCGGCAGGACGCTATCTGTCTCCATCCCTCCGTTTGCCCTCCCGCCTCAGGGTAGCTCCAGAAGCAGCAGCGGGCTCGGGGAGAGCAGGCTTGCTGCCCTTCCTGGTGCACTTCAGTCAGCTCAGCTGGAGCAGCCAGAAACCGTGCCCCTTTCCAGCCCTGGAATGCAGGGCAGCGGGGCGGGACGGGGGCAGGTCCCGGTGTCTAGGACTCTCGTCTCGCTGAGCGGCTCTTCCACAAATGGGGTGACCGTTGAACCTGTAAAGCCCACTCCCCACCTGCTTATCCACATACTGTCTTGTTGGTTTTTTTTTTATTTCTTTTTTTATTTTGTCTTTTTTTGTTTGTTTTTTTAGAAATCTGTCTTTCAGGTTTGCCAGAAGGTAGGCGTTCAGCCCGCTGTGTGTGTGTGTGTGTGTGTGTGTGTGTCTGTGTGTCTGTGTCTGCGTCCCGTGTCCTGCCTCCGTCATTAACTCCCCTTTTCTGGCTCTTGCTCCCTCTTCCGTCTGCTAACCACGTCTGTGTGGCCCTCTCTCTGCCATCTTAAAGGGATGAAGACCGCCTCTGACTGGGTGGCCGCTCGGGGCAGATGGCTTTGCAAATGAGGAGCCTGTCCACAGGCGAGGGGGATCTTCTCAGGGAATTCTCCCTTTAAGATTGTCTCCTCACCCCCACCCCAGGTTTGGGTTTCGGTCGCAAGCATTGGGTTCCTTTCCTGGCCCTTCCCCTTGTCTGTGCATGCGCTGTGAAGAAGCTCCACGACGGTTGCAAGTGCATCTGGGATGGTACCTCATTCTGGGTCTCCTGGTCTTTCGCCTTCTCTGGTCCCCTGAACTTCAGAGCTGTGTGACCTCTTGCCCCTGTCCTGTGGATAGCAGGACTTCGGAAGTACTACAGGGACGCCGGGGTCCTAAGGCTCCAGCGTGATGCTTGCAGGCCCAAGGAGCCTTTGCCTCACGAGTGGGCACGGCACCCCCTTGTGGCAGCTCCTGTTAGAACTAGCCCCCCACCCCACCATCACCCAGCACACCTCCTGCCTCCAGCAGGACGTATCTGGACGAATCAGGCCACCTCTCTTCTGGGCTGTGTTCTCCGGATGAGGACAATGGCTTCCAGAGAGCGGGGGGGCCGGGATGTTCTGGGGCGGGAGCCACCTACCCCATAGTCTTGGCAAAACAGTGGGAGATCCCGCCCCCTCCCTCAGACATCTCCCTTCCTAGACTGGATCCTGGCTGGGCCACCACCCTCTGGCCCCATCCTCATCCTCTCTGGAGGCCTGGGTGGGCCAGATACCCAACTGAAGACCCAAGGGCCGGGTTGGGAGCACTGGTTCCCCAAGGCTGTCGGCCCAGGCCCCGTGCTGGGGCTAGGACACCGGCAGGCACGTTGGTGACCCAACTGACTAATGCCAAGACGGGGTCTTTAGGCTTTCCCCTTTCCACCCACTGCTCCCCACCCAGCTCTTCACTGCATGGCTAGCTGTTGACTCACAGGCCCCGGTGACAGGGCGCCTCCACCCACAGGGCAGGAACCAGGTGGGGCTGGGGAGAGCAGCAGGCTCCTTCCCCTGCACAGCCCGGGCTCCCCGCTCGCAGTGCGCTGGTGTGCATTCGTGTGTCTGTTGTGTCTTCGTGTTCCTTTTCCGTGTGCCGCTGCCGCTCTCTCTCATCCTCCTCACATCCCTGCCCGCCTCTGTAGTCCCCAGTATCCCGGCTCCGGGCACCCATGTTCCCACCAGGAGCTGGAGAAGCCGCTCAGCGGGGCCAGACCTCTTCCCCACCCACCCTCCCGAGGTGCTGGCCCTGCCCTGCCCTGCCCTCTCTCCTCCGTTCTGTACAAGCAGATGGCCTGGCAGCCTGGCAGGCAGGGGAGTCATAAAAGAATGGGGGAGGCGGGCTTGTCCACGGCCTGCCTCGGGCCCTTCTCCCCCTCCCCTTCCCCAGGCACCCATCCCCAGGCAGTTCCAGCTCTTGGCCCTTTGAGCCTCCCGGGAGAGGCTTCTGTCTGCCCTCCCTCCCCCCCTCCCCCCAGCCCAGCCCCTTCCCTTGGAGAGGACCAGGGCTCTGGGGCCTGGGTATTCTGATGTTGAAGACCCGTTCACAGCGTGAGGCCCTGGCTGTGGGCTGGTGGGGGAGCTGCCTCGTGCTGTGGCTTGTGCTCCATGCGTGTGCCTGCACATCCACACCCCCCTCCCTCCCTCCCTGGAGCAGAGGCTCCGTCTCCCCAGCACAGAGCTCTGGGAGCGTGGGGGGGGACAGGCCCCATGTGCCGGGCTCCCTGCCGGAAAGGGACAGGTGAGCCGCCAGCGTGAGGTGCTGCAGAGCCGTGTTGGCCTGCCAGGTGACGGGCGAGTGGCCTTCGGGCTCGGGTCCCGCTCACCCACCAGTGGCGCCTCACCAGACCCACCCTCACCTGGGTCTGCGGCGGCGGAAGGAGCGAGAGGTCCCAGCACTAAACTCTCCCTCGCTCTGTTTTTTGAGGAACCTGAATGAACCTGAAAGCAAAGACCGAGTGGAGACGCTCAGGTGAGAGGGCCGGAGCCAGCACCGGCCCTGCCCGGGCCACCGGGCTTGCCACGAGCCTCCTGCTCCTGTCTTCCTTCTGCCACCTGGCTCTTCCTCCAGTGGTTCTGCCCGGTCCCCACCCTCTTGGGACCTCCCTTTCCTCAGAGAATCCCCACACCCCAGCTGATGTATTCTGGAAGCAGGAGCCCTAGGCTGGGCGGCTGGGGCTACAGATTTCCTCCCCACCGCCCAGCTCACCTTTCTGGCCAGCCGCTACTCTCTGTCCACAGTCTGCGAACCGCTCAGGGCTGTTGAGCACGTGCTCCCCTTTTTTCCCGACCCTCCCCTCTTCCCAGAAAAGCATGGAACTGGCGCCCTCCCGTCCCCTGTCCCCTGCCGGGGCCTGGCTTCTCCTCACCTTCTCCGCCCTCCCTGAGAGAGAGATGCAGGTGGCAAAACCGCCCACCCCGCTCACCCGCCCGCGGCCCCCCCCCCCCCCCCCCGCCTCTGCCCTCTCCGCAGACCTCACGTGGTGGGCGGCGGAGGCACTGACAAAGAAAAGGAGGAGTTTCGGGAGGCCAAGCCGCGCTCCCTACGCTTCACTTGGAGTATGAAGACCACGAGCTCCATGGAGCCCAATGAGATGATGCGGGAGATCCGCAAGGTGCTGGACGCAAACAGCTGCCAGAGCGAGCTGCACGAGAAGTACATGCTGCTGTGCATGCACGGCACGCCGGGCCACGAGAACTTCGTGCAGTGGGAGATGGAGGTGTGCAAACTGCCGCGGCTGTCTCTCAACGGCGTGCGATTTAAGCGGATATCGGGCACCTCCATGGCCTTCAAAAACATTGCCTCCAAAATAGCCAACGAGCTCAAGCTTTAACAGGCTGCCGGGAGTGGGGGGCGACGGAGGCGGGCCAGCTGGACGTAGCTGCTGGGGCCGGGCTCCGACCCACCTGGGCGAGACTGCAGAGATGGATTGGTCTGTCTCCCCCTGCTGGCGCTTCTCCCCTCCCGCCCTCCTTGGTTGGTTTTTTTTTTTTCTTCTTCCATGTTTGGGGGGGGACGGGAGACGGTTCTTGCCCCCCAACATTTGCCCCTGCCCAGAAAGTCCCCCCCCTTCCCCCCTCTCCCCCACAGGAGGCCAAGGAAGGGGGGGGAGGGGTGGGGGGGCGGGGCTCCCCCTCGGTACTGCGGTTGCACAGAGTATTTCGCCTAAACCAAGAAATTTTTTATTACCAAAAAGAAAAAAGAAAAAAAAAAAAAAATCCCAGCGGCCACCTTTCCTCCCCGCCCCATCGGGACAGTTGAGACTGGATCTGTGGGGTTTCCCGGGAGGGTGGCTCAGGGCTGGAACACTCTCAGGCAAGAGTGGTGGAGCTCCCCGTCAGGCCCTCCGCCAGGCCCACTTTGGGCTTCTCCCCTCTCCTTCCCCCCTTCCCCTCCAAGCAAACCACCAGAGGTGGCCTTCCCCTGACCTCGGGCCCCAGGGCTGGAGGCCCGGACGGCCGGGCCGGGGACCGGGGGGGGGCTGGGGGCGGGGCGCTGCGCAGCCCTGAAGTTGGGGGGTGGGGGGCGGCGGCAGCTCCGGGCTGGCAGGCGCGGCCCGGGTCCCCGGCCCCCTCCACACTGTATCCTCTGCCCCTCCTTCCCCAGAGCCGGGCATTTCCTTCCACAAGCTGCTGTGGGGACTTTTGTTCCCCTCCTCAAAAGTCTGTGCCATCTTCTCCCACCCCTCCTGGGTAGAAGGCGGGGCTGACCCCGGGGCCGGGAGAGGGGAGGGGACTGCAGGGCAGATGGGCTCCTCGGCCCCCAGGGGGCCGCCTGGGCTGCTAGTCTCCGGAACAGGGATGCTGGGCACTCTCCATCAGGGGAGAGCCTTTGTCTGAAAGCACAGCCCCTCGCCGTTCCTCTCCCCTGCCCCTTCATTGGCATTAATCTGGGCACCAGCTAGTTCCATAGCAGTGACTCCCCCCTCACCACTCATCTCGGCCTTGCCTTTTCTTCCTGACACTGTCGCCCCTCCTCTCAGGAGACACTGCCCAGGGCCTCCACGGGCCCGCTGGCAGGAGGCTGGATAGGGCAGCAGGGCCGGGAGCATCTGCCCTCCAGGGGGTGGGGGGACAGACAGGCCTAGTGACTCCCAGCTTGCTAACCTCCTCGGCCAGTGTGGGAGTGGCTGGTCATGGGCGCTTGGCTGGTGGCGGCCGCCGCATCCCTTAATTTATTTCTCTGCTGTTTCTGTTCCTGAGAAGTTGGGGGAGGGGGCCCTGCCGAGGCTGCCCCCACCCTCACCTGAGTTGTACATTTTTTTTTTTGTGATGGGTTTTATTTTTTATTTTATTATTTTATTTTTTCTTTTTTTGATTTATGATGACTCCACCCCTACTCATCACCCCCCTGTTCCCAGCCCAGGCTCCGCGGCAAGGCGAGCCCTTGGGTCCCAGGAAGGGGCCTAGCCAACCTCAGCCCTCCTGCTCCAGGCCCTGACTGCAGGCTCTGTGGGCTCGGGCTCAGGCTCCGACCAAGGGCTCCCCCTCTCCCTTCTTCCCTCTCTTCCTCCCTCCCCATCCCTCCTGCCCAGTGGAACAGCCCGGGTGCTCTTCTGAGGGGCCTGGAGGGCATGGCTTGGCTCCCAGAGAGGGTGGTGGCCCGTGGGGGGGGCCTCCCAGGCAAGGTGGCCCCTCCCCACCCGCCCCCCCACCCCCACCCGCACTTAGTTTCTCCTCTGGATCAAACACGTAATAAAGAGAATGTTTGGAATCTGAGCTGCCTCCTTGTTTCTTCTCCCAACCGGGCAGGGACCCAGTCCCCATGGGCAAGATGTGGCCCAGCCCGCCAGCCTTGCAGGACAGAATGGATTCCTGTCTGAGGCCTGGGGGAGGCCAGTGCTGGGTGGCTGCTCCGTCCCACCCTCGGGGCACAGACCGGAAGCAAAGCCCAGGGACCTCAAGGGCAAAAGAGAGAGCGCTCCGTGAACTTGGAAGATTTTATTTATTTTTTAAAAACATTGAAAAATAAACCCATGTCTGCATATGTCCCCGGCCCTCCTTTCTCTAGGCTTTTGGGCAGTGGGTATAGCGGGCACCTTCAGAGCTCCACGGCACTTCCCAGCAGGCTCCGGAAGACAGGAGAGCTGCCCATCCAGTTCGGCCACACTGAGGCCCCAAGGAACCTCTGCCCGCCTCCCCCCTACAGCCCCCTCCCCACCTCACCCTGACTTATTGCTAAAAGAAAGGAAAGAGGAAGAACAGCCCCTACACTGTCCACTCCCCCATCCCCCAAGCTAAGGTCACTACCCCCTCTACACGAAGGCCAAGGCCCAAAGGCCAAGCCCCAGCAGACTAGGAGGCAGCCATTCCAGCCCCAGCCAGGAAGAGAAAAGTACCCTCAGGCCAGTTCAGAAGGCCCCTGAGTCCCCGCCCCCGGGCTCGGGTGGGGGGGGTGGAGCCTCAGCTGCCAGAAACAAGTGCAGAACCCAGAGGTCCAGACTGTGCCCACTGGCAGCTCCGGGTCTTCGAAAGACCTGGCCAAGAGCTCTAGTCCCTTCTGTCCTCAGTGAAGCCAGAGGTGTCCAAGGACGGCCAGCCACGGGGTTCTGGAGCCTCTGGCGGGTGGAGGGCCGCAGGGCTCAGAGTGACGGTGCTGGAGGCTCCAGCGGGGCTCCAATCAGGGTGGGTGGGGGCTGAGGGCCGGGGCGGGCACTGTGGCGGGAGGCAGCCAGCGCCGGGCGGATGAGAGGTGGTGGGGGCTGGTTGGGGGCCAGCCGGGGCTGGAGGAAACGGCCCTGCTGGAGCGGGGGTGGCTGGCGGAGCAGAGTGGGAGCCGTAGGCAGAGGTGGCCTCAGCAGCGGGGGCGGCTGGGACAGCGAGGTGGGAGGCGGAGGAGGGGGCGGCACGGGGGGTAGCGATCGGGGCACGGATGTCGACACAGACGTGATCTGCACCTGTGAGGGGAGAGAAGGGAAACAGACTCGAGCGTGCCCTCGTCCCCGTCCACAAAGACGGAGCCGGCTCCTCTCCTCTCTTCCCGGAAGGGCTTCTTCCGCCCGCTCTCACCTCGTCGTCTTCCTCTAGGGCTGGGGCTGGCAAGGGGGCCCCTCTCCTCGACTCCTCCATGGGGACTGGGGCTCCGGGCGCCCCGTCCTGCTCGGCCTCCCACTCCTGCAGCACCTCCTCCAGATTGAAGCGGCGCCGGTAGCTCACGAAGAACGTCTTCACCTGGGTCAGAGTCTTGTTCCCGATCACCTCGGCTATAGCCCCGAAGTCTTTGCCGTACCTACGGATGGCTGCGAGGGTCAAAAGGGCAGCAGAGTGTGAGCGCCCCTTAGAACGAGCTCCTTCCCTGACCCTTCCCCGCTGCACCGGCTCCTCGGAGGCTGGGGAGAGATTCCCGGCGCTCTCCGCGCTCCCCCCCCCCCCCCCCCCCCGCCCCGGGTCTAACCCACCTTGCACGGCCAAGAGCTGCTCATCCGTGGTCCAGCGGGAGTTGAACTTGGTGTTGGCCTGGAGAGCAGGGAATATATCCTCTAGACTGGACATTATGGCAACAGGGGCCCTGCCCTCCGAGGCGGATCTTCCCTTTCTGCTCCGCAAGGTGGGGGAGGTGGGGGGTGCAAGCCCCTCCCTCACCCACGCCCAAAGCCATCTTACCTCAGGGGGGCGCAGTGGATCGATGCCACCCTCCAGCGCCTGGCGGAGGCCGCTATTGGTCTGCTTCATGCTTTGCACCTGAAAAGGTCAAGAGGCGACACCTCAAACTCTCCCCCCAGAAAGGCCACCGGTACCAACCCTCACCACGGCTCCGCTTCCCAACATGGCTCGTGGCCGCCCCCCCCCTTCCAGCTCGCTCCTCCCTCACAACAGCTCAGTAGGGGAGGCGCCCGGGTTCTCCCCGGCTCGCAGACCAGTTTCTATAAAAGATCCAGAAGAGAACGCCGCCGTGACTCAGACGTCTAAGAGATGGGGCAGAGGCAGGCTTGGCGCGTGCACACCACACACCTTCCGCCTCAGCCGTCCCCGCAACGTACTTCCCTGCTGCCCGCGGCCCGGTCCGCGGGGCCCCTTCTTTCCTCAGGCCCTCACCTGGCGCTTGAGGGAGATGAGCTGCGAGTCGAGGCCTCGAAGCGTGAGGTTGGCAAGGTCTGGGCTTCCTGACACAGCGGTGAGGCCCTCGGGGCTCAGGTACATGCCCTTGGGTGGGCGACGCCGGGTTCGCAGCGGGTGGTGGCGGTACTGAGACCCCTGGGCCTCCTTCTTCCCAGGGCCTGGGCGGGTATTCAGGGGCCGAGAGGGCAGAGGCTGCCAGGGAAAGGAGAGGGGTGGGTGGTGAGGAGCCCAAGGACGAGGTGGGCGCGTGGGCAGGGCCAGACCAGCTCGGGGGGGGGGGAACCTCACCTCTCTCTTGGGGTCTCCAGCATCTGGCTCCCCCTCACTCACGGCTCCTCGTCCCTCTTCAAGCTCATCACTGTTGACACAGGGACCAAGGAGGGAGTGAGGCAGAGGCCAGGGCCCCCAGAGCTCAGCTTGCCCCGCCCCTGGGCCCCCAGGGCCCCCACCTGTCTTCTTTGTCTTTTCGGCCCCCCAGCCGCCGAGCCTGTCTGTCCATCACGCTGGTCCGGCTGCGGGTCTTCTTCCACGAATAGTAATACTTTACCAGACTAGGGATCAGCTTGTCAGGCAGCTGGAAGGGCAATGCCAGGGGCTGGGACCCACCCAGGACCCTGGGCCCCGGGCGGGCTCGTCAGAACGGAGGGGCTAAGGAATGCTGGCAAGGGGGAATGGGCTTTTACCATCTGCTGGATCCGCTGGAAGCATTTGCCATGGAAGCCAAAGGCCTGTTCAAACAGCACCTTGTCCTCCACAGTCCACTCGTCAGGGAACG